GGGGGAGGCTACACCTTAAGTTGTTTCTGCAACCACAAAGTGTGTGTAAGGCTTCTAAAGCATTAAGAAGGATGTCTGTGCCATTAAGGTGGACTAATTCAACCATCAATTACTAACCAGTGCCAACTGCCTAAGAAGTGGGGAAATCTCAGTACAAAGCAATAAGCAGGTACAGAGAACCTTGGGAGGTTTGGTTCTGGCAACGTCCAAAAGAGCCCAGATCATGGATGTAGCAACTGCAGGTGTCTTCCTTCTGATGGATATGTGCAGCCTTGCACAAGACCCAGTACATTTGCACAAGGGAGCAAAGACCCAGTCAGCCACAGAGCTGTGGAAGCAGGCTCAAGTTCTGGAGAGGAAATTGGAGGACCTCATTTTGATCCAGGAGAGCTCGCAGTGGGACCTGACTAAGTGACACCTTCCTCCAAAAGTGCAGACCTCAGGGCACATGTGCATTTCAAGCACCTGGACAAGGGCAGGAAGTGCTGTAGAGCAGTAGAAGGTGAGATGAAGTCTACCCAACTGGGTGTTAAGGAATCTTGCATTTCTGTGGCTGAGTACAGGGAGGCATGGGTTAATGTTGATGAGGTGCATTAAAGCGAAGGCAGGGACCTGGAGCCTGACCTAAAGGAGAAGCAGTGACTAAACAGTATAGGAAGTAGGAAGGAAAATTTATTGACATTCACTTGGGACCTGAATAGAGTCAACTGCGAGAAGAAGCAGTAAAAAGTCCTGGAAGACAGAGAAAATAAGTTGGAAGCAGCCACAGTGTGTGCCTCCTGCCAGCTTGAACTGGGCTCCCTGATGGTTTCACCTCAGCTCCTTGACCTCCTGCTGACTTGAACTTGTTTCCACCTCCCCCTGCTGCCAGGAGCTACTGGGGGGAGCCAGCACTTGCACTGCATTTGGAAGTCTGCTGTCCACTCCCAAGATGTATACTGGCCAGTCCCACTTTTCTATGGCACAGCAGTACCCGAATAACTCATCAGCCATTGCAGTACACAGTGTCCACTGCTCCACTGCACTGGTGCCTTCCTCTGTGGAGGCCTCTAGGGTTACCAGTAGTCACCGCAGTTTCAGGCCACCCTTTCCACACAGTGAGACAGGGCTCAGGGAGAATATGCTGCTGGCCACCTCACTCTTCATTGTTGAAGTCTCTGTTCTCCCCATGGCTTCAGTTTTCACCTCAGATCCTCACTAGGTCTCAGGAACACATTTGAAAGCCCACTGCAGGTCTCAGGGACAAATCTGAGAAAGGCTGTTCCTCTGCTGTTCTCCACTCTGCCTTCTTCCCAGAAGCTGAAAGCATCTTGATCTTACTTCAGCCATCTTGTTATCATTGTCTCTGAGAAAACCTTTCTTTCTTTTCCCTGCATTGCTTCTCACCATGCCATAGATAAACACAGTAATTAACTGGCATCTGGGATTTTGCTACCAGACCCAGGTGATACTGATTTCAGGAATGTTACTAATGGTTTTGACATTAGCTTAAGAGAAATCAGGTACATTCCAGTTTGGATGGGCTCATTCTGGTAAAGCTTATGGAGGTCCACCATTCTTGCTTCTGCCTTGACCAAGATTATGTACAGAGAGACTCAATAAAGATGAGACTCTCTAATTCTGAATCTTACTGCCTCTTTCTCTGGTCTGATGATATCCTTTTCTTTGGCAGTTGATTAGTTTATACCTACTTTTCTGGGAATAATCTTCTTGTCCTTCTCTGTCTTTGTCACCATCTCTTTCTCCTCCTCCTCTTCCTCTTCTTCCTCCTTCTCCTTTTTTGAGACAAGTTCTCACTCTGTAGTCAGGTTCACCCTGAACTAAGAATTCTCCTGCTTCAGCATCTCAAATGCTGAAATTGCCAGCAATAATCAAATAATCATTAATATTTGTTAAACCAGAACATCAGAAAGAAAGAGCCAGACCAGTGTGAGATATTATCCTGTACAGCACTCCTCCCCAACAGATCAAAAACCTGAAGTTCAGAGAGGTTGATCTCTTGCCACCCACCTGAGTGATCTCTGTAGAACTCCAGGTTCCCTGAAATACTCCTGGAATCTGGTTTCATCCCCTTCCCAAATTAATGACCGCTCCAAAGCAGCACTTGGACTTTCATTAGAATTTTGATGAAAAGAGGGCTAGACACAAGCCAAGTGCTCCATGAACTCTGCTGTCATGGGCACCATGATCACCAATGTCAAGAAGTCACAGCCTAAGCCAGGCACCATGCTGCTTGCTGGCAATCTCAGTATTTGAGATGCTGAAGCAGGAGGATTTTTAGTTCAAGGTGAACTTCACTACAGAGTGAAAACTTGTCTCAAAATAGTGAGGGAGGAGGAGAAGAGGAGTACGAGAAACAGATAGAGATGAAAATAGAGAAGGAAAGGAAGAGGAAAGGGAAAAGTAAGAGCATTAGAAATGAAGGGGAAGTACAAAGGACAGGGGCAGGAGTTGGGGGGAAGGAGAGGGAGGGAGCAGGTTGTACTGGAGGCCAAGGCACAGGTGAGGTGACCCTGGGAAACAGCACTGGGGAACCAGGAAACAAAGAGATGCTGCTGGGGCGCAGACAGAGCAACCCCTGTTTCTTATTCTTGTATTTTACTAGTGCGTGTTTTGCAGTATGTAATGACTATACTGACCATGCGGGTTAGTCCATGAGCATAAACATCTTAATCCTTTCACTTCCCCTGCCTCTACCCTCCCCCACTCTTGCTCCATCTCTAGGTCCCCTTAACACTCCTGTTTCTTCTGTGTTTCGGCAAGTGTAACCCGGCTTCTCACCTCTTCCACCTCTAAGTGGTCCTGATCTTCCCAATGTTTGCTCCTACATTGTTTCTATTTGTGCCACCAAAGTACACTCAGCACAAAACAAACACCTTTTCCTATCACCACACTCTCTACTAGTCCCTTATTACCACTAATTTCAGACTCCAGATTCCTGACTTACTTTGACCCACTTGCTATCTGCATTATCATTTTCTTTGTACTGTGAAACCACAAAGAATTCAAACTCCTTAACATTCATTTACATAGACTTTATCTCCTCCTCTGTATTGATAATTTTCCTGGTATTTGGAAAAACACCTAACACAGTTGACTTCAACTTGGAGAGATTTGCTTTGGCTCATGGTTTTAGCAGGTTTAGTCCATGGCTGGCCATCTCCACATGGTGGAAGCACATGATGAAGGAAAGCTGCTCCACCCATGGCAGCCAGAAGTAGAGAGAAAAGTGTGAGTACAAGAATAATCCCTTTCAGGTCACAGCCACAGTCCCCGCCACCTTCTCCAATTAGGCAACACAGCCTAACAGGATTCTCAATCATAAAGTCAATTAATTAATTGATGAATATAGTGCCACCATGACCAACCACATTCCAAAATCCCAACCTCCAGACACATGAGATTTTGAGGGGCATTTTAGGTCTAACAAATAATAACGTTTCTTCCGCATTTTAAGTCTGCCTTTTTATTAGTTCAGTGTATCTCTGTAGTATGTAAGGGTTACACTCTTTGTGGAGAGTTAATACATTTATAGTATTTTTTGAAGATAGTAAAATACAATAAAACAAAACAGAACAAAGCTAATCAAGACAATGCCGTGAAACTGGTACAGAACTTCAGAGCAGCATACCAGGATAACAGTGGTAGATACCCTAGTATATCTGGTTATCTTCATAATAGTTGTGCATCCCACCAGGTATAGCAAAATTAGACCAAAAATAGAACTTTATAAAATCAATCAAAACAGAATATTGAAGAGAGTGAAATAATTATTCAGGAAAAAGCTAAACAGTAAAAACATTTGCCTTCAAAGATAAGACAGAAGCAAATCTCTCATATTTCCTATATTGTTTGAAAGGGTCATCCTCTAAAAGAGATGCTCAGACCTCTGGCCCCACATCAGCATGATCAACCCAACAATACCAGTATTTAGTTGCTGTATATGCTTCAGTTGCTATCAACTCCAGCTGACCTGGACACCGTCCAGTTGCTAATGGGACTGAGGGGACCCCTTTGATTCCCCATAGGCTCATGGGAGACACTGACTTGTTCTCTCCCTGGTGCCCCTCTGCTTGCTGGCTCACACCGCTGCTGCTTACCAGGAAGGATCCATAACACATCTTAATTTTTTTCTTTAAAATCTCTTTCCTTTCTTCCATCCTCTCCCACTTGGTTCCCTTTCTACTTGCAAAACATCTATCTGCCTATTTCTTATGTTTTAACTTTTATTTTGCTCTTTATTTACATTTTGTGTTCTTATATGAGAAGCTAAGTTTAGCCCAAGGTAGCACACATCCATCAAAAGAGGACACTTGTGGTGACTTCACCTGCGATCCAGGCTCCTGAGGTTACTGCCCAAGCACCTGGCCTGCATCTCTAGAATTAATCTCCTCATGTCCAGGGGAAGTGGCCCCCACTACATCTCTGAATCTGGGCCTGCACATTATTAAACAAAGGAGAGTCTGCCCACAGGAGTCCGCTAACCTTGTCATGCCACAGCTCCCAGGCCTGCTGGAAGCTCCTGGCTTCCAGTCTTCCCACCATTCTGTCTTCTGCGCTGTGACCACAGCAGCACAACTTGGTTTCCAGGGCTGGTAAAGAACTGAGGAATGGATCTGATTCCAAGGAACATGGGGGAAGGCATTCTAATTTCTAATGTCATCTGTTTTTTTTTTCCCAGTATTTTCTAACTTTCATTGTAGAAGTCTTTCATCTGGATCAGGCTGATTCCTAGACACTAGATTTCATTTCTGTTTTTACCTTTTTTGAGAGTGCTTGTAAATGCAGTTGTTTTCTTAATTTGTTCGTCAGCTAGCTCATTACTGATGTTTAGATATGTGTTTGATTTTTTCAGGTTGATTGTGTGTCCCGCTACTTTGTTGAAATTGTTTATCAATTATAAATGTCTTTGGGTGGAGTCTTTAGAATTTCTCAATAAAGATTTGTGTTATCTGCAAATATGGATAATTTGACTTAGGTATTTTGTTTTCTTCTTATCCTTTTCTTATGTACATTGTTTTTCTTTCTCTTGACTAACTGCTCTGTCTAAAATTCCAAGAGTTACACTGAATAACAGTAGAGTAAGTGGGCAACTTCACCTGGTCCCCAATTTTAGAATAAGTTCTTTCAGTTTTTCTCCGTTCAGAATGATGGGCTTTGTGGATTTGTGGTAAATGAACCCTAGAGGTGTAATCCTGCTCTTGTTAGATCCTTCAGCCTTTTATCAGGAAATGAGGTTGAATTTTGTGAAGGCCTTTTCTGCATCAAATGAGATGATACAATGCTAATCCTTGCTCTTATTTATGTGCTACACCATGTATATTCATTTTCGTGGTTGAACTATCCTTGCATCTTGCCCTCCTTTTAACCAAACTAATCTGCATTAACCCCTCCCTGACTATGGTCACCCACAAAAGTGCCGAGTCCCTTAATATCTAGTTGCATGGTCTTGATTTCATCCCTTTCCCCCTATTATAATTTCTCATCTGTCCATGACTCTGTCCAGAACATGTACCCTTACCTATGCATTTTTGTGGGGAGGGGTCATTGGGTCAGATTTCACACAAAATCCTGTGGATCTGGATGAGTTCCTCCAACTTCTCCTCCAGCTCCCGAACCTTCTGCCTCAGCTCTTCAGCTAGGGGTGCCTTGGCCCCTTCTTGCAAATGCTTTGAATCTTGCACAATGTTGTACACATCCAGCCCAAGGAAGAACCCATTTACCACTGTACCTGCAACCCGGGCTCCTCTGCTCATTGACAAGGCTGTCTTTTGAAATGCTTTTTGTACCTGCTGAACCCGTTGGGCTGAGAGTCCCCCCTTGGTTATGTAGCAGATGGCATCTCTTGCTAAGCGAGGGTTGGCTAGGGCTATCCTGCGAGCACGGATGTTCCTTGCCATTGTTTTCAAGTTATGGAAGAATTTATAAAAATTTCTACCAATTTTAAGAAAAATCTCATTTCCTAGCAATTTCCTCACACTGTCCTCACTGCTTGACAGAATACTTTTGGCTTTAGCTTCAGCTGAGTGGGTGTTTGTTTCTTCTACAATCATAGTGGTAATGCTAGATGCAGCAGTTGCTGCTCCCAGACCTGCTCCAGCTGCTGAGAGCAGCAAACTGCCCCCTGCTGTGAAGGGCGCTAGAACCAGGCCAGCGATGCTCATGACCCCAGAGACAGCCCCAACAGAGCTGGTGGCCACGTTGGAGATGGTGCAACCCTTGTGCGTCTCATCAATCTCTTTCGCAAGCTCTTGAAGTTTTTGTATACACGACTCAATTTCTGCTTTCTCCTTAGGAAATATTTCCAAAAACTTCTCCTTAGCCAAGATATCCACTAGGAGTCTTTTTTGGTCCACCATTTTGCTGTTTGCTGTATGTTTCTTCAAATAATTATTCAACTCCTGTGCTTCATCCCTGCAACAGTAAAGATCTGGTGTTAAGAAAAGCACTTTATTTATCTGTAACATGGACTCAATAGGAATATCATGCAAAACTTACAGGTGCTTTACTGTAAATCAAATAGAGACATTTTACAAATGCATAGAATTTTTCCTTCACAAGTGACCACGTTTAGTACATCATAGATGGGGTGTGTTCTTCTTAAGATTCTCTTTAGAGGCAGCTGCTTGATGAGATGCTTTCTCTCTTCCAGTCAGTGTGACAGCTACCAATTTGTAGGTAGAAGAGGAGCTAAGCAGATGAGCAAAGAGAAGAGAAAAGTGCAACTTCACTCAGAGAGACTTAGTTTGCAGTGAAAAACCAGTCAAGGTCAAGAAGATTCCTCTCTTTCCCCTCGTTACTGGTAAGTGGACTGTACACACTTGGAACCTTTTGCCCTCTTGAATATCTGTGTGTGACTGGAGATTTTGGCTACAATGCCACACAGTTTGAACACAACTTATCTGAAAATCCAATATCTAAAAATGCTCCCAACTCTCAAAGCTTTTGAACATATACATAATGTCACAGGTAGAAAAATCTCACATGTGATATAACTAGATAGGTCACATTCAAGATGCAGGCATGCTAAAAATGTTATATAAAATTACTTTCACATTACATAAAAAAGCATAAATGAATTTGACCCTTTACTTGTGGGTCCTGTACCCACATCTCATTATTTTCTCATGATGTATTAAAAATCACTTCAAAAATAAAAAAACCCTAGAATCTAAAACATTATTCATAAAACATACTCAGCCTTCACATGATGGTGTTCCGGTGGGTATGGGTTCATTTCTGTCCTTCAGAGGAACTCGATACTAAGCAACTAACCTCTGGGATAGGAAGGAGTCTTCAGGTAAACCCTGAAGACAGTGTGTGATTCAGCTCCCCAAAACTCTAGATATCAATGAGTGGGTTAAAAAAATAACATTTTCCTTGACCAAAATTTAGTGAGAAACTTTTGAGTCTCTTCTCAAATAGGTGTGGACTTGGCCTTCCATGTCAGCCCTGTGCCTTTGGGCTTAGCAAAAACCCTATCAAGTCAGATTACTGAAAAGCTTGCATTCTTCACATCTGTTCAAGTCCCCATTCCTGACTTTGACGTGTTTTCCACAATCTGCTTTAGAAAGAGACACATTGAGACCTCACTGCCAGATTGCCCTCCTCTTTATGTCCCTGGTGGTTGTTAGCTCACTATTGCCCCTGACTTTGCTTGTTGGATCTTAATCCTCAGCTGTCTTTACTGTATCTGAGTTCTTTCCAACTCTCTCCCTCATCTCCACAATCCTCCTGTCTAAAGTCCTGTATACTGTTTCCACATATGTCAGAATAATGTCTTATGTCACAGAGTGAGCCACAGCGATGGGCAATTCTCCATCTGAGTTGTCTCACATTAAATACAGGACCTCACTGTGTCCTGTGGAAAATATATGGTTCAGGTTTGAAACTCTCCAGACTCTGTTTATGTGTCTGTTCCTCGGGCTGGTTTTAACTGTGTCCTTTCTGGGTGGTGAGCTCTGTCACAGCTGTTTACAGTGAGTTCTGTAAATTCTCTAGAGTCATCAACCCTGAAGGTGGTTGGTGTCAACAATAAGAGTGGCCTTAGGGCCTGTTGTGCTTTCAGACTCTGCAGTTTGACTAATGCTTGGAAATTAAAATAGAAAGAATGAAATGCCAGCGTGGGGAGAGCTGAAGCTGGAGATCAATCACAGGTGCAGGTTTAAAGCAAGTCCAGCCCTGAGAACACAGAAAGCCACGTAAAGCTGCTCCAGCTCCAAGATCACAAGGTGCCCATGTGAGCCAGGCAAGCAAGTTTCTAGATAGAAGGGTTGAAATGGATGTTAACCTCCCGAATCTGTAAGTAAATGCACCATGCTGGTTGAGCAGTTCCTTTCCTCCCATCCAGCAAGATGGCTCCACCTGACCTCAGCTTTCTGTCTCTTAGCTTTATTTCTTCATTGTCTTCCCATCCTTCCCCTGGCAAACTTTGAGAGCTGCACTAGACATGACACCCCAGAACCAGAAGAGTCTGCCTCTTGTTTGGTCTACCATCAGTTCTTGACCCATCCAGATGCCCTCTGCCCTTCCCAACTGAATGTCACTGGGGCCCATTTCCTTCATACTAGAAGGGAATCAGGACCTGGCTAATGGCACTGCCTCCATTCTGACTCTGCAACTACCTAATTGCATCTTGATACATCCACTCCACTCCTGAACCCAGCACCTTGAAATTCAGGATGAATGTCTGACATCACCCACCTAATAAATACCTTCATTAGTCACAGCTTCATGTGTGTGCAACCAACACAATGTACAAGGATTTGTAAGACACTGTACATGAATTACTAAGCCTAAAAGGACCTGAATTTGGACTTGATTAAGAAAAGGAAAATTTTCCTCTTTGCTGAGGACTTCTGAGTCTCTTAGACTCTCTAGAAAGGCACAGGTAGAGAGAAAACTATTCCCTCTTCAGAAATGGTCAGTAAGCCACACTGCTTTCCAAATGGCTGAGTTACTAGTATAAAAAGGTTTCCAAAATCACAACTGAAAACTGCCAGCACCCAGAAACCCATAGCCCTCTATATTCATTAGTGATGGACCACAGCAAGTGGACAAAGCATCCCATCTCCCAGCCACGTATTTTCTGCTGGAGCTGTGGCCTCCCAGTGTTTTGAACTTTTAGCTCGTCCTTTGGTTCACACTGGGCCCAACCCTGCGGCCTCAGACTCCTTAAATTTCTGCATTCAACTGTCCGTCTCCCTCAACCCTGAGCTCTGGTTCTGACCCTTGTGTGGGTCATTTTAGGTCTTTTGAAAGATACTATCTGTAAGATACTTAACTTAGTCCCTCACCTTTATCCCACAGCTCACTCCTGGTGCTTTACCACAGTGCTATCAGATTGAATCGCTGGGCCTGACACACAGCTGAGACTCAGTATCCATGGCACAAGCCTTCCACCCAGCTCTGTCCAACTCCACTCTGACCTCTTTGTCTTCTGGGCCACAGAAAAATCCTGCTGCATTTGTGTAGTTACTGAGCTAGGGAGAAAAATGGCCTGATGTGGAATCCCAAGGAACATGCACTGAACATGTTTAATTGTTTTGAGCCAACAAAAAAGTCAGTCCTTCTTAGATGGCATCTCAAAAGAGGAGAGCCTTGGCCCTAGTTTCTTCCCAATCTGTCTTTGCTTGAGCACATATTGTGTGTCACCATATGCTAAGCACTGTCTATGCATTATCATGTTTTTCTTAGAATAAAACATAATGGATGAAGCAACTAAGTCAGAAAGTGGTATATTAACTTGCAAAAGTCATATAGCAAGCAGATGCCCAACTCCCATCAACCTGAGGCCATTCGCTGCCAAGTATTAACAGGGAGAAAATTTCCCTTAGGGATTATAAGAAGGATTACCATCAAGCAGGAAACCACTTGGAGAAGGCATGTATGCCTAGAGAAATCCATTTGGTGGAGGTCAGTTTGGCATTGCTTATGGGTACCATATTAGATACCTGGACAATTCAGCTTCTTCCACAAACATCTTCCAGACGCTATCATAATTTAACAGTCTCTGCAGATCATCTGTACTCATGGAGTCCGTGATACACTTACTGACATTCTCAATGAAATTCATGCACTCTAAATTGGGAGAAAATGAACAAGGTGAGAAAAGGATACAGTGCAGTGTCAATGGTTAAATGTTCATATTTCTGAGCATCTCTTAAGTTGGTTGTGGGCTTTTTTACTTTGTTTTGCTTTTTATTTTTTTTTCCATTACCAGGGGTTGAACCAATGGCCTTATTTGTACTAGGGAAATGCTCACCCACAAAGCTTATAGTCTTTGGTCTTTTTCATTTTATACTGAGACTAGGTCTTCCCAAGTTGCCCAGACTGGGCTTGACTTTGCCATCCTCTGGCCTCAGCCACCTGAGGAGTTGGGAATATAGGTGTGTGCCACAATGGTTGGATAGATGTGATACTTTTTGATGTAGTGATTTTGTGAACTAAATTATGTCTCCAAATTTCATATGATGAAGATTTAACTGCCTGTCTGTATTTGGAGATAGGACCCATAAGGCATTAAAGTAATTAAGATCCAATGAGTTGTAAAATTAGGGCCCAAATTCATAAGACTTCTGTCTTATGAAGAAGAGACAGCAAACCTCACCTTCTCCTCCCTTTGTCTCACTCTCTGCTCCTCTCTCTCTCCCACACATTCCCTTTCTCTTCTTGTCTCTTCGTGGACAATAGAAAAGCTATGGCCACATAAGGTAAGAAGGCTCCTTCTGCAAACAAAAATACAGCCCTCACCAGAAATCAGCCCTGCCACCTGCCACATATTGAATGATGACTTTGTCTCCTAGAACCATGAGGAAAAGGCCATCTTTTACTTAAGCTCATAGATTCAAAAGGATTCAAAAGGATAGCAAACACACTGATAGAATGTGTCAAGAAACAAAATCTAACAGTATGGTATATATAAGAAACGCATTTGGACTTCAAAGAATATGGCAGAGTGGTGAGCAGCAAAGAAAGAGGCTTTCCAAGATTTGGGGACCAGCCACTGGAATGTAGCAACATGAGGAAGAGAATAAGGAGAGAATTGAGTCACCTGGACCCAGGAAAGATCTAAAGTGAGACTTGAATCCCACAAAGAAATAATCCAGGAATTCAGCAAAAAATAAGAAAACCAGACCCATCACCAGAGTCCCTAGGACAGGAAGCCATGCCCCTCAGTGAACCCACTACTGCAGCCTGGAGAAGAAGCTCACCCCCTACTTCCCCCACTAGTGAGCCAGCAACTGCAGGCCCAGAAGAGAAGACATGCTCCCTGGTAAGCTAGCAGCCACTGGCCTGGAGGAGAAGGAGTCATGCTCCATGGTGAGCCCAACCCAAAACAAATTCAGGAAATTTAGACACAAAGGAAATTAGAAGTCACGCACTGAAAAGTTCTGAAATGGTAGCAACTGAAATGGGTAAACAACTTTGTGTTTATATTGTTTGATTAATTTTGCATGCTTGTATCTCATCCAGAAGAAGTTTGGGAAACATATCAAAGAAATTAGAAGCCACACATCTGAAATTTCTGAAATTAGAGTAATTAAAGAAACAACTAAGAACTTGTACTGTGTGATTAACTTTGCATGCCTGTATCTAGATGTCTGAGCAACTATTTGGAGGATAACAATGTGCAGTACAGTAATCATTATGGGTCCCTACTGTCTTCCTTTTGAAATCCAAAGTCGTTCTCATTGTATTGTTTTGGTTTGTTGTGTTGTTTTGTTTTGCTTTATTATCTTTAAAATAACAAAACATCAAAAAGAAAAGAAAAAAAGAAATACATTTAACCCAGAAGAAAATTTACAGTTCAAAAAATCAAAGAATATAAATTAATATTCCATGAGATAGAAACCCAAAGCCAAACCAGAAGTAGTTATCCTACTTTCAGATGAGGTGGACTTCTAGCCAAAAATGATCAGAAGTGACAAAGAAGGTGGCTACTTATTGATTAAGGATCAACTCAACAGGAAAGAAAACATAAATATGTATGAACCTAACATTGGTGAAACCAGCTTCATAAAACAGACATGATTGGTATCTAACATCAGGTGAACATCAACACTATTATGATGGGAACCTCAATGCCCCACTGTCACAAATAGATCAAATAGACAAAAGAATCAACAGAAAAACATCAGAGTTGAACAAAACCTTGGAACAAGAGACTTAATAGATACCTACACAGCGCTCTATCAAAAAATAACAGAATACACATTATTCTCAGTAGCACATAAAATTTCTTCAGAATAGACCATATTTCTTAATAAAGTATAATTAAGTTGATATGGAAGAAATAAATTATCCCATACATGTTTTCAGACCATAGTGCAATTAAAAGAAACCAGTGGTATAGAAACTACAGAAATAAAGAACCAGGCCACACCCAGCCACCTCCAAGCAGACAGGGGGGGCTCCCCACCCCCGAATCAAGTCCCTGGTCCTAACCATGCATGTAGGTTGAAATTCACTGCAATGAGAAAACTTGAGACTTTGCTCCTGGGTGGTAAGTTCACTTTCTGGGTCTGAAATCATCCTAAGACCCATGAGAGGTACCACTGGCCTAACTGGGCCACGCCCAGTCACCTCTAAGCAAGCAGGGCCCGGAACCCAGACACAGGCCATAATTGCACATGGGTTTAATTTCAGTTCACAGGAAGCCTTAGAACCTCAATCTCAGATAGTAAGACTATGCCCTCTGTCTGAAATCACCAAAGGACGCAAGGAGTCCCCACGGGCCCAACTGGCCTGCACTCAGAGAGCTCCAAGTGGCAAACAGTTGCCAGCAGTCTTCCCTGGGAGCCAAAAGTGTGCCAGGTGATTCCCAGTGCATGTGGGAAGCTTTGAAACATCACTCAAAACCTGGAAATAGGCACAACTCTCACCAGCACTGAGGAATGCAACACCGCCCTGGAACCTTGGCCTGGGTCGCCGTGAGCTTCCTGCTGGACTCCCACTGGCACTGTGAAATAAGTGCTTCCTTCAGACCTTAGCCCACGCAGCTGCCCACTTTCTGCATGATCCCAGTCAGCATTGAGGAGAGCTACCTTGCCCTGGGAGCTTGGCCTGCACCCAGCGTACACCAATACCCAGGACATCTGCTGGCCCCTCAGGGACACTCCCTACTTCCTGAACCGTATACTGCTTTGATCTTCAGATCCCACCCTTTCTTCCAGAATCTTGGACTGTAGCAGATTAACTGTGCTAGCTTGAAAGCAGATTCAGTAACTGCCTCATCCAAACAGAAGATCTCAGCAGGCTCTAGTCAGTATGGTGAGTATGCCTCTAAAATAGAGGTGTACAGTAGGTAAATAGGGCCAGTAGTAAAGCTCCCTCCAACTAACTGTAAGAACTTGAGGAGTCTGGCAAGAGTGTGGTGACACCTTCCTACACACAGAAAACATCAGGCAGGGTGAGGAATATGCCAATAAGGACTCCCCCAACTTGGAGAAAATCAAAAGGACTTATGAGACACACAGGCACACAATAGGGACACAGTAGGGCCTCAGCTGACACAAACACTATACACAGGGAGATCTGATGACCCGAAATAACCTTAAGATAAAGTAATAGCAGGAACTAAAAGTTGACCTACATCAATACTACTAGGCTTCTCAGCCCAGGAAGAATATAGGACTCACCAAAAAGGCATTCAGTGGGAAATCAGGTGACTGGCCCAGGTCTTCATTGAGGGACCCAGCAATTGGACAAACATCAAGCTTACATTAGGACCCCAACATACACTAGTGGGATTGAAGGATCAAATATCAACTCGAAAGGGAAAAATGGCAAAATGAAAAAAGGAAAATGCAATCTCAAACATCTAGTCCACCAGGAGCAAGAATAGGAGACATTGAAACATAGGACTTCAAAAGTAATGCACCGGGAATCTCTGAAAAGATAGGGAGTGAAATAAAACACAACTCTATGGGGCTATAGAGGAAAGCAAATTAGAAGTACTCTGCCATGTAAAGATAGAAATAACAATCTTAGTAAAGGAGTTTCTGAGCACAGCTAAAGAAGAAATAGATTTTTAAAAATGTACAGAAGCATGGGAAACTGATTGAAACCCTGAATGAACAATATAAAACACAAGCACAGTTCATAAAACAGATTCAAAAAGACATTCAAGTAACAAAAATTCTATTCAGAAATGGCATAATCATTTAAATGAAGCTGAGGATAGGATTTCACACCTTGAGGACAGGATTGCAATTAGCGATCATGAAAGGAGAGAAATTTAAAAATAACAAAGCAGCATGAAATGAAAATCCAGCAGCTTCAGATGATGCCAAGAACAACAATGTAAGTAATAGGCATCAGTGAAGATCAGGAGTCAAAGTAAATGACATAACTAAAATATTCACAGAAGTAATAGCAGAAAATTTTCCAAACACGGGGAAAAACGCTGATATGTACATAAGTGAGGCATACAGAATGTCAAACAGTCACAACCAACATAAATATACACCAAGCCATATGAAAATTAAGATCCCAGACATACAGCATAAAAACAGAATACCAAAAGCTGTTAGAGGAAAGACCCAACTAACCTATCAAGGAAAGCCCATTAGAATCACAGCAGACTTTTCAGCACAAACCCTCAACTAAAGACAAGTTTGGAGTGAGGTATTTAAAGGCCTGAAAGAAAACAACTTTCAACCCAGACTGGTGTACCCAGAAAAACTTGCCTTCAAATTTAATGGAGAAAAAAGATACTTCCATGACAAAGAACACCTGAAGAAATTCACTTCCATCAAACCAACCCCAGAAAGAGTATTGAAAGACATACTAGATTGAGATAAAAATGACCACAATCCCCAGAACAACAACAAAAGGAACCACCAGGCTGGACAAGCAATTAAACGAAGGGGAAAAGCAGAAAGCAAACAACTGGAACATAACATGGCGAAGTCGAGCCAGTACATATCAGTGATATCCATAAATGTAAATGGCCTGAATGCACCTATCAAAAGAAATAGGTTGATAGGATGGATCAAAAAACATGATCCCACAATATGCTGTATACAAGAAACACATCTGACCAAAAAGAAACACATAGATTAAAAGTCAAAGGATGG